AATCATAATATATTTTCATAATAATATACCTCATCAGCCATAGAAGAAGAATTTAAGAACTAAAGCTCCCATTGCACCACCTGTGTCTGTCTTAAAACTTATTTCACTCAATTGTTCTATTTACTAATTTATTCCTCTCATGGTGGGATTTTAACTGTTTTAATGAGGGACTATTTGAGCATCACCCATTGGGGGGAGCTCCTCATAGCCCTCATTTAGATTGCTGCGTTTTAACCCAAACCAAACTCTAACCTGAACCTTGAAAACAGGTCCTGATCCTCAAAGTAGTGAGGACCTCTCAAATGTCCTCTGTAAGGTCTATAACTGAAGCTGGTCCTCACACAGATAGAAGTGCAAACACAGACGCACGGTCAGAGATAGTTTGCCATCTGTTGAGATATGCAGCTGTTCAAAAATAGCCCTGTACCAGAAGCTTCTGTGAGTGGCTGTCAGATAGGCAGAGCAGGGAAACAAGTCATGTCGGTGCAGTTTGTTGTGTCTCTACAATGTCCACGTGTTGTCCACTAAGTCAGAAACCACTGCAAGACTGTTTGATTGGAAAGTTTATGTAAGTCTGACTGTATTTGTTCTTTTCAAAGCTACCCAACTAGAAGTTTGTTGTTGTCTAGTTTCTCTACAACAGACCGATTGTTTGTATTGTTGGAAACTTGCCTGAAAATGGAGCCGTTTCCTGACCGGTTCTTGGAATTCCACCCCATCCACGGTACCAACGTCAGACTGGACCACTTGGACACACAGGCCACCCGGGTGGAGAGCTTTGCCAACGGTGTGTGTTTCAGCAAACACCCTCTGAAGCCTGGGGAGATTTTTCTCATAGAGATTGAGGAAAAGGAGCTTGGCTGGTGTGGCCATCTCCGAGTGGGCCTGACGGCCAGAGATCCCATGAGCTTAGAGGTGGTACCTGAATACTCAATCCCGGACCTGACAGACCTGGGAGACAGCTGGGTCTTCGCCATCACCCGCAACCACAACAAGGTCGTGGAGGATCCTGGGGTCCAGGAGGCAGAAGAGGGAGGACTGGCTGGGGGTCGGAGGCTTGGTAGAGGGGAGGTTGAGGATGTAGCTGGAGCTCAGGGACTTGGAGGCAACAGCATGAATCCAAAACATTTCTTCACTGACTCTCACTTGCACATTGAAGATGTTCGGATCCCCAGAGACAAGCTGGTCGGTAGGAGCCGGCCCGGACGCTTCAGTCACATTTTGGATGACTTGTACAAGATCAACGCGCTGCCTCCCACAGCCAGACGCAGCAGAATAGGAGTACTATATGTGTCTAGAGGGAGGGACCTGGCTGATATGCACATTGTAATCAATGGTGAGGACATGGGAGCGTCTGCAAAGGGGATCCCCACCATCCAGCCCCTCTACGCAGTGGTGGACGTCTTTGCTGCCACTAAGTGTGTCCGGATTGTCCAGGTGGAGTATGGATGTGAGTGTCGCAAAGATTATTTTAATCGCAAACAGAATAAGTCGAAGGACGGGTAGATTCAGAATGACTACAGGTTAAGCCCCTTGAGGACATGACTCAGATCTCAGACTCGTAGAAACACTCAGAGATGACATTGTGGTACACTCTTGCACTCAGGTCTATGGGCGACTATGTTGCTCAGTAGTCCATCCATGCTTTGAATCCATTAAAAAATAAATTTCTCTTTATTTATTTTGTTGATCCACTCCTCCTCTTTTCTCTCTTCTCTGGTGCTCCAGTCTCGTCCTTGCAGACGTTGTGTAGAAAGGCCATCCAGAAGCACATTGTCCACAGGATGGCCATTGACTGGCTGGAGCTGCCAGAGGCACTTAAGCACTACTGCAAGTATGAGTGAAGGATGAAGGCCTGCAATGGACAGAAATAATAATAATGTGACCTTGTGTTTCATTTATAAAACAAACCTGTGTATTGTGATGCTTGGCACAGACCAAACTGACTTCATTTGATATCATCTGCTTACTAAAATAAATTTACAGTATTTTTTCAGTGTCAGTGTGATTACGCATCAACTTTCTCTTCACAGTGGATGTGTCGGAAATAAAATTTGATTCATCATCTTCTCTTTTCTAAGAACCTTTACAGGAATAAACAAATAGATCTGTCACATGTTTGTTATATAATGAGACTGAAAAGTTAGAGGGTAGTGACGTTAATGTTATCAATCCCACTGTACAAAACATGTGTTAGCTTTGCCTGCAGATTGTAAATGGGTCGAATAGCAGTAAATAACAGCTGCTGAGGAGGTTTTGTTTTCAGACCTGTCTGCTTGTTTGTGGGTTGGACTGTAAGCAAGATTACACACAAACTACCAGATGAACTACCATGAAAGTAGCTGGAAGGATGTTGTATCGGTAATATGTTCTTCGTCATCAAAAGCTGAAATGGGTTTCTTTAGTGCAGCAGCATGTTAGAGAAAATATAAATACGATACAGCGTCTTTATTAAACCGATGTTGGTGAAAACAGAGACAGATTTTGATGTTGAATAAAATAACTGTCATAATAATGAATACCTGTTAATGGGAGAACTGCATCACTCCATGGAAACACTGCTGCTCTGATTTACCATCACATTCCTGTGATTGGTGTCTTCATCATTGACCTACATGTGTTGTCGTTGTCCGACACTGACCTCTAGCGTTAATCTGAGGTAACAGCAGGGGGCGGAGTTCTCGTTAATTCTCCACCAGGATCAGATCACACGAGGAGGAAACCATCGCTGCTGCTGCCTCCTGCAAAACCAAACAATCATTTCTGTTTACCTGCTCTGTAGAGACACTACAACATGTCTTTCTGCCAGTTCTTTGGAGGTGAAGTCTACAAGGATCATTTCAAACCAGGTGAGCAGTGACTGTTAGTCCGCAGTGATGTAACCTCCCTCTAGTCTGGATTACAGAGGATAAAAATGAGATTTCACATTTATTCTGGGAACTACTTTATCTAGTGTAAGGCTTTGTTAGCTATGAAATTATCTATTTTGATTATACACATTTCATTTAGGCCTTGTGTAAGATAATGGGTGTAAGGGAAGGTCATGTGGAGTGACAAGCAGTAGTTTGCATGTATTTTATTTTATAATTTAACATATCTCTGATTATTCCAATAGAAATGTAACAATCACTTTACATTAAGAAACCTGTTAATGCTTATGGTGAAATTAATAATTATTAATTCTGATTTACTTTGGTACCAAAAGTGGGTCTAGGATCTGCAGGTTATAATAAGAAGATAATAAAATCTAAAATATCTTATCTATGCAATCTTACAAAGTGCATTGCAAAATACATGGGTAAAGCAGAACTGATAACACAATGAGAAAATATTTAAAAACAAGCAACACAAAACCAGTTCAAAATTCAGCATTCAAACGCTTCCATATAAAAATGTTTTAATAACCATTGCTCTAAAAACTGAACAAGCAGCCAGTGAAGGAGGGAAGTTGGCTTAAATGCAGTGAGGATTGATTGGTACATGTAGATGGTGCATTGCAGAAGAGCAGGCATGAGAAGACGAACACGTGAATAAGCTCATAAAAATATATCATTGAAACAAAGCATCTAACAGTATGAATGTGCCCCTGCAGGAATGTACGTGTGCTCCAAGTGTAACCATCCCCTGTTCTCCAGTCGCTCCAAGTTCACCCACTCGTCTCCATGGCCGGCTTTCACCGACACCATCAGAGAGGACAGTGTCACCAAGATGATGGAGACTCTCACTGCCTTCAAGGTCAGAAGCTCAGTGACCTCGTTTTAGAGGTTTTACAGCAGCACCATCAATTACAATCAATAATCAATACTTCCATAACTAGTAAGGCACTCATATCCCAGCCAAGGCCCAGCAGTCCCCTTGTACTGCACCAAATCGCACACTCATAGATATCAGTCCCCTAAACGTGCTGTATTTTTTCATCCATAGGTCTATGAATTATTTTCTGAAAATAAAAATCTATCTTGCTCTCTGCTCCAAAATGTCCATCGTGGGTAATCAGACAAGTATAGTTAAGTTTAGTTAGTTCAGTTTTACATTAGTTATTCTCTTTTTCTTGTCCTCTAATCAAACTTAACACATATGATCCTCTGTGTGTAAGGGGGGAACTTGTTATGTAAATAAATCACTTTACTCAAAGATAGCACGGAGCACATGTCTGAACAAGTCAAGACATCTTTATTATCACCGAGGGGCAATCTGTTGTTCAGCCAGCAATCAGTGCATGACAACAACAGACAACCAATAACTACAATGTAAATAAATACAATATTAAAATAACAGATTCATTTAAAAGGCCTGTGGAAGCTTGGACAAAACAATTTAACCACAGGCCTCCTCTTCCTCCTCTTCCTCACCTGGAGCTCACCTCTATTCACTTCCTTTAATAATGCTCCACCCTGTGTTCAAATTATATATCACAGAGTCACCAGGGTTATGGGTACTTATCAATAATAAATAAAATAAACCAAAAACTCTCAGGTACTCACCTTCCCCACCATGTGCTGTAGGAGCTTAGGGAGGGAGTGGCCAAACACTTCCTGCATTTATACCTTTGGTGACATCAGCAGCGATGTCACTAGGAGCAACCATGTGTGAGGGGAGGTGTGGTAGGTTTTGGGATTATGATTAGCTGTATTTTGGTGTGTAGGGTTTCAATGAAGCTGCCAAATCTAAGTTTAGTGCCTGAACAGACATTTTTAAAGTTGGTTTGCTTTTTCCAGGATGTTGTGTTTGTTAAATTAACTTTTGTTTTCTTTCTTTGGCTTTCTACATATTTCTGTTACATGCATAACATGGGACCACTTTCCAAAATTCAAACAATCATATTTATTTGTATAGCCCACACAAATGAACTCTTCAGTCTCTCCTGAGTTTCTCCAAAGGCTGCCTTTAACAGATGGACAACGCAGCTGGAGATTCTCTGCTTTATGTTTACAGACACAGGTGTCGGTCTTTATCACCCAAAGCTCTCCTGACATCCTAAGATATTTGTTTTCTTTTAGTTTTTTCATTTTTGCATCTGTCGCGTGTTTGAAATCATCAGCAAGCCCACTCGCTTAAAACGAATCCTGCAGAGAATCTCCTGCTGTTTTCTCACATGGGCTCATTCTCCAGACGTTCTTCTAGGCCAGAGAAAGTCTGGAGCCCCTCACTGGGACAGTTGACACAGACCCTCCGGAGAATGTCAGGAGATTCTCTGGAGTTCAGTGTCTGTCTGACAGCAGCTTCTGAGTCTGCATCATAGGAGTTTTAAAGGCCACTCAGGTCAGGCCTCCCACATTCATCCTTGGTGGAAGTAAATATTGTGTTGTGATGTTGTAACCCACACATGCTACAACAACAAGTTAAGTGTGTAATGTTTGTGTTGTGTACCCAGGTCCTGTGTGGCAAGTGTGGCAACGGGCTGGGCCATGAGTTTGTGAATGACGGCCCAGAGGAGGGAGTGTCACGTTTTTGAATATTCAGCCACTCGCTCAAGTTTGTCCCAAACAAAGGTAAAAAATAAATAAATAAATAACCACAGGCGTGAGTGAAATGTTCTGCTGCTGTTATATCATAACATTTTAATTTTAAAATCCCTGCAGACACCACAGGCTAAATAAAGCCACTTCCATCACATCATAAAACGCTGCTCCGGGTAACTCGGGACAAACCACAAAAACCTCACTGTCAACTATTTTAATTGGAAACTATTTTCAGACAAAAGTAGAAAATAATGAGACGTGTCCACAGCGAGATCTGTGGAAGCTTTCGAATAAGTAGGGCGCCGTTTCTCACGAGAGGCGGTGAGTTTCTTTGTGCAGCAAACACAAATGAAACTCTATTCACCTCCATTGTTCTGAGGCTCACAGCAGGAAAGTGGAAAGTGGAGTGATTCATCTTCATATTTTTTTCCACCTTTATCTTCTCCTATGTTGTCTCTTCTACTGCTTCTGCTTCTCCATCTTCATCTCCTTCTGCATCTCCTTCTCTGTCTCCTTTTTTTCATCTTCTCCTCCTCCTTCTTCTCCCTTTTCTTCTTCTTCTTCTTCAGCTAAATTAACTGTTCTGCTTCTGCCCTAAAAATAATGTTTTAATAAATGTTTTTTATATAATCTGACTAAAATGGTTTCTGTGATTATAAATGAAGATTTGTCTGCTCTCCTCTTGTGATAATAACGATATGTTGTTTCGACCTCAGGCAAAGACAAACAGTAAAGCGAGAGGTCAGGTTTCCACCACAGCTGCTGAATCTGCTGCTCGGTCCTGGATGATGTGAAAGTGTCGGGTCAGCCGGTGATGTGGACGGGAGAAAGGCCCAAGAGGGACGTCCTGTCCACTGAAGAATCTTTGACCAGACTCTGACACAGGTCACCAGGACACACGCTGCAAATAATCCTTTACTTGAGATTTGTCACACTCTTTGAATACCTCATGTTTAAATACACGTTTAACTCATTGCATATTATGATGATGTCTCTGATGATGACATGTATCAGGTACATGTCATCATGTATCAGGTACATGTTGCAAGAAATTAGGTTTTTTATCAGCTTTTAAGCAGTTTTCCATAAACAAGTCATTGCTGCTATGAATTTCACTGAATTTCTCATTGTATGGCTTCTATCATTTACTCCTCAAAGTAAACACAAACATATTATCTATGCACTGATGACATTTCTAATTAGTTTGTACTTTTGGTGTTTGTTCTCTATGTTTATTTTGAAATCATGCAGTAGCAAAGAAACTGTTAACCCACTGAATGATTCATGTACTTTAATTACATCTACTGGAAAGTTCTTTACTTCACCTGAGCAGAAATGCAAAATAATACGTCACTTGTAACCCTTGTGTATTTGCATTTTTCTTGGTTAAAACTCACATCTTAGTCAAAAGTTAAGAAAATGAAATTGTTTGTTTTAGCCTCTATATTGACAGTATATTGATACTTAAGGAAGTAACTAAATAAATTATAGTTTGATACATTTCAGCATTGTTTTGTATATTTTTACTGTAAGTTCTTTTAAAATAGAATCGAACTCCACCACCTTCAATTCTACTTATATAATATTGCCTCAGTTACACCAGGGAGACTGGATTGGCCAGTGTATCACCACAATGCATATATATGTATTGCATCAGATACAGGTACCTCGTACACAGACGTTTTCTGCAAACTGATATAGGTGGATATTTGTTACCGTACACTCACTTAACAAAGATCACCTTTCTAAAAGGAGATCATTTGATTTAAAAGTTCATATTAGCTCTCTACAAATGTCAGATCTCTACATAATGTCTTGAAAAATTCACAACATTTATAATCCCAGCTCCAATCTGGATTTGGACCAAAATTTAAGGGGTTCTTGCTGAATCTATATCGCCTCCTTACCCTAAATTTCATGATAATCCAGTAGTTTTTGTGCAATCCATCAGACTGCACCACAAAAAAAGAAACGCAGATGAAAACATAACCTCTATGGCAAAGGTATAAGCTATTATTTAGTTCACAGTTTACCTCTCAAAGGGTCTTTTTTCTGCCTGCCATTTCGAAGACTAAGTGCGATAAAGCCATATTAAATTGCCATTGTTTATTTGTAAGAGAATCTTGAGCTTTGTAGTTTTTCAGTGGAGAAGCTGATGCTTCCTCGATTGACCTCTAGATGGGGCTGTCATTCTTTTAAATCACTCACTCCTCTCTAGAAGTGGAGGTTCCCCTGGTTAACTGGTTCAGTGAAAAGTCGAATGCAGAGAGATTGTGACATTGTCTGTTCTGGTGTATCTGCATATTTTGACTGCTGCATGTGTATAAATATGAATTTAATCAGTATGAATTTGTCGTCATGCACCAGTTATGGATGCTCCTGGAGCTAATAAGGGCTCAGGCTCTTCCTTGTGCCCAGCTGCATGCCATACTCTGTGGGCTCCAGGGACTGGCAGAGACCCTGAGGTTTAAAGAAGTAGCCTGGCCGCCTGGTGAGAGACGGAGGGGTATCATTACAAAGGAAGTACACACACACACACACACACACAGAAAAAAAGTGTGCCACTCAACACACTGCCATAAAAAAGTTGGACTCTTTCCATCTTATGTTATCACATGTGTTGCTGTCTCACTTTCCTCACATGCATAAATTCCAAAACACACAGAAAAACACACTGTCTACTCGATTTTATTGGTCTCACCACAGACAAGTAAAGTTTGAAGCATATTTCCTCTCAAAACATCACTTCTTCTAGCGTACAATTACCAGAGGTCATCATAACATGGGTAAGAGTCGCTGAACTCTCCGCTTCGACAATTTGAATATCCTGCAGCACCAATCCACATCCACCAAACTTCGCTCGTGCACGCTGCCAAAGGTATTGAAACAAAGTTGAGGCCTCAGTGTGGCCTGACCTTGCAATGAGGTTGTTATGGCTGAGTAAATTTCCTCTCATGTTTTCTTGGCAGGCCGACACTCCGAGGTTTATTCTTTTAACATAGCGTAGTCAATTTAGTGGTTGTTGTTGCCCCAGCTCCCTCACTGTGCTGTGTGTGCATGCATTTTTAGCATAGGTGGTCCCGCTCGTAGCTGAACCCGCAGCCTTGGCAGCGGTTGTGTTGAGCGCAGCCCGTCGTACTGTACGGGAGCGGCTCTGGCAGATGAGCAGAAAGCAAACACAAGCAGACGAGGATGTGTTGGCCACAAGTCTGTTATTAAAGAACACACCTCCGGATCATCCTGTACTGTAAGTCTGTGACGTCCGATGCATTCAACTGATAATTTACTTTTGATGTTATCATTGTAGCTCAACCTGTTATTTATATCTACTTCATGCTTACCTTGTTTTTCACTGGGTTCTCAGACTTATCCTTCTTTTTCTGTCCTTTTTCTCAATGCTGCTTAATGTGGTGTCTATTACGAGTATTAGAAAATAGCATTTCAAGAATAAAGTCACGATAATACAAAAATAGTTTTGAACAGTGAAACACAAACTTGGTGTTGGTGGTCAAATGAAAATGGTATTTGGACATAAACGTAACCCAAAATTTAACCGATTTAATTGAATTTAGAGACAGTTAAGATTAGATATTCAGGTTGTTATTATTATTATTTTTTTACTTTGCATTGTTTGTGCAAAAGTGAAATATTTGAGTGTTTGCCCCAAACAACTAACGTATCAACTGCACAGATCATAGACCTCATATAAAGATGGACCACACGACTGTTCCCCAAAAGTGAAACCAAAGCGCCTTGATCGCCCCCTGGAGGCTGACTGCAGTGAAGCTAATAAACCCCCTGGTAAATGTGTTTTTAATTATTTAATAAATGGTATCAAAACAGGTGAAATGTCAAGATTGACAGCTGAGACTGACTCATCATTGGTCAAAATGCATGTATCCAGATCTCGATCACTACAGTGCAGACTCCTCCTCCAAATGTGCAAGATGGCAGCGCTGATATTCTCGATGTTTTGGCTACATCTCAGGGTTAAGGGAGGAAGTGGAGACGCAGCCTCCATCTTTACAGTGAATGATATAGATGTTAGCTGTAAGGTAGCAACACGCAGAGGTAGTGCTCCTGTGCTGTTTCTCTTTCTTTCAGTCCACAGGTCTCTTCTTGTTTTTCCACGTGACTCCAAAAACCTGTTGATGTATTTTAACCTTGTCATTTCTACCTATACTTAAGTTAATGATGTCGACACTTAGAGACTGAAACCTTTGTCTTAAGGTTATCATTTATCTTTATTTTCTCCCTTTTATAATTTCTTTGCCTGACTATACACAACATTGTTTTTTAAAAGTCGTCTAAGTTATAAAAAAAAGGAAAATAAAAGTATGCCAGGAGACATTTTGCTTGAACGTCTTAGTGGAATTTTTCCTCTCGACGATGGCTTATGATGAACATGGGTGACTTATAATAATCGTCCTGTCAGCACATCACAATTCTACCTCCCAGGAAACCCCAATTGAAAGGAGTGTCTTGGCAACAGCAAGGCGGCATGTGTCTGGGCCGCAAATATGTGAACTACCAAACTGGTTTGAACACTTAACAATATTTCCTCTTGGCATTTCTGGCTCAGACGGATACTTTAACAATAATCTATCATCTCATCATTGACGTTACAAGACGCATTCATGGGACATTTGAAAGCTGCCTCTGCAAAAGAAAAGCTTCCTTAGTGTGAACTCAGGACACATTTTGTTTACTACTGGACTTTAGGTTAATGGTGAATCTCCTCAAATAGCAGACAGCTCAGCGTTGAATCGCACAGACACTGCATCAACCGGCTGACCTGAGACGTTTTCAAGACAAGGTTAATGTTTGAATCAGTGGGAGAAGAATCCCTGTACAGGCATGAGAGATGATCTCTTCACAATATTATAAAAGGTATTCAGGAGAAGGAAAAGGTCGTCACGGGGTATTTTATTTTGCCTTCACAAAGTATAGGGACCCTCAACTTTCATTTTTGGCTGCACGGGTCAATCTTCTATTAAATATGAACAGCTAAGGCAGAAATCTGTTACCGAGTTAATGTGTTTCATTAAAGAAAATGTTTCTGTCTACAGAACAAACATATTTTCAGACTCGATAAACATTATTTTAGTGGGAAAAGCCTCTTCAGAACCATTTTCCTCCCAAAATGGATGAATGGGTATTTTCCAAAAAACGACTTTTCACGTTTTATGGGTTTCAGCTCATACACTCCAGATCAGATAAGATGATTTTGCAAAATTATCCCATCAGTCATCACTGTGGATGACATCATAGTTATTAGGGCATATTAGAGCCACTTGCCATGCCAGAACACACATAAACATTAGAAATGCAAGCACACACTGATAATAGTTTGGCTACGGGACAGTGAAGCACCATTATCTGCCTGGGAATTGAACATTGTGCAAAACGGTGAAACTTGATAGATACACCATCAAGTGTTTTGGTTCTAGTGAGTACAGAAGCCTTTTTCAAGGGGTCTTTTCATTTGTTTGCTCAATTGTTCATTTTGTCCGTCCCTATGATGTCAAGTTAAAGATCTTGAAATGGTTATTTCACTGATTGGATAAGTCTGGGAATACACTGAGGAGAACTGGTAAAAGAAATCCAACAATTCTAGTCCCTGTATGAGTGATGGTGCCAAAAGTGCCTCTTGTGGCCAAACGGTTAATTAAAGAGCATATCGCTGCAGTGTCATGGTTCCTCTCAGACTCTTGTCCAAAAACAAAAAGAATTGGATTTTTTATCTTGTGAGGTTTTCCCACATGAAAAGTGAAGCCAAAGCATCTCAGTAGCGCCCTGGTGGCTGGCTGGCTCCATCCCTCGATGGCCCCATGTGCAGACTCTGACTCCAAATGTGCAAGATGGCAACGTTCATATCCAAGAGATTTTGGCTCCATTTCTAGATAGTGGGAGGAAATTGTGACCAAATGCTAACGGTAAGCAGAGACCTTTGCTTTTTATCCAAAAACTAAACAATAGATTCTATATTTCACCTTTTGTTAGACTTTTTCCAGATGAACACTCAAAACAAGGCCTTTCTGTCACTGATGATATATAAAGATACTTGTACAGGATGAGAAGTACTTTAAATTAACTGACCTATAGCCTATGTGCAAAATTGAAAGACCATTTCCATCAGTGTAAAAAGCAAATCTGAATTCCCATATTGTTGATGGCTATTAGAAATGATCTCTACATAACCCCCGTCACTTCCCCTGACATCTCTTTAGAAAAGTAAATTAGTGCAGTACTACTAGAGATGAGAAATGACCCCTTACTTGAAGATCACTCAGCAGAAGGTGTTTACAGTGCTCTGGCGGTGGCAGCCCTGAGTTAAAGAAAGTAAACCTGTTAACACAAGCTTAATTTGTCTGAATATTTCCAACTGTCTGAGTGAGAAAAGACAAAGGGTGTTCTGTGAGCCATCCCTGGTGTGTGACGGTCGTGTGGTCAGGAGTTAAATCATA